ACTATTTTCTTCAAATTTTATAATCTTCATAATATAGGACTCAAGAAAACTTTTTAGTTCATCTTCTTAGTGGGTAAAGATCTCATCCTCTAACATGCATTAATATTTAGTTATCTCAATAAATCATATATAAAGGATTAAATAGATAATTCTTTATCAATTGTATCTAATGTAATTCCTAATCTCATTGGTATGACAACTTCTTATCATATTACCTTTTATATGAATACCAATATTTTCTTATAAGCTTGTTGGACCTCGACTTTTCTCAATAAATCCAATAACTCATTTTAAGTTATACCCAATGTTCGGAGATATCGTATGACCCATGATTTGTTTTCCTCGAGGAAGAAGTGACCTTGAGTTATCTCAACAAGCTAATAATGACTAAAAGAGTTCCCTCCTCATAACGTTAGAAGACAATTAACTTAATATTTTATTTGAAGGATTTAATTTGATTGGTCTCATCCTAATATGCATACTAATCAACAATCATATTATTCCTAGCATGCATACTAACATTAATCGCATAATATACATATATCTCATGCATGATTCAAGAATCGATAAATGATAATGGATATCTAATCCTAGCCTTCTCGAGCCAAGAGAAGTCTTGTGGGTCAAACACCTAGGTAAAAAATTATTATAAATTCTATAAGAATGTTTTCGTTTCTTGACATCTTCTCCTTACATCTATTTTAATTTTTATCTTTTATTTTTATATTTATTTGAATAAAAAAATCTCGAGTTACATTCAAGGAGAGTAAGATGAGAAGAGAAATACAATAGAGTAAAAGAGAAAGCAGGACACATAGGTCCTATTTATCCAAAAATTACAAACATTCATTCATAAAACTAGGTCGACTCATCCATACCATTCAATCATGCTTCAATTACATTGATACATAGCATACTATTGAAACACATTTCATTCAAAACTTAATTATAAATATATGTTTTGGCCATTTTATAAATTTATCAAAATTTCTCTAAATTTTAATTTTTAAATTTTTTTAGGCTTTGGAGCATCGAGGGCCCATGGGTTTCGAAGCCTTAGCCCTCGGCATTGGGTGCTCGTGCATGCTTATCCACGATTAGCGACTCGGCGTATGAGCCCCGATATGTAGGCAACCAAAGGCTATTGCACGCTTATCGTACAACTAGTCTAGGGTTTTTGCACGCATAAGCACTAACGTCCAATGTCGGTCTCGTGCCCCTCCACTAATTTTTAACCCAAATTTTAGCTTTAAATTTATATCAAATACCAAAAGCATAAGATTTATAACTAGGCATAAATAATTTATACGAGTTAAACATAATTAACATAACATAAAATCAAATATTCAACGGAGGCTCGATACGAATTGAAGGATCATATATCCTACGGAGGTGTGAAATAAAACAAAAAATTTTCTTTATCTAAAGGGTCTAAAATCAAGTCGTTGAATCTACTAACCATACATGCATGAATTAAGGTATTAAATAAAGGACTATCTCTTGTAGCATAGATCTAAATTATTTAGCGAAAAAAGTCATCCAAGTGTCCGACCTCTATTGATGAGCCATGCAATCCAAGCACCCATAAAGAAGCACTCAAAATTAGTTGAGTGCTAGCTTCACCTTTTCCGATTTGTTTTGTATTTCCTATAAAAATCTAATCCAAATAATTTTTAATAACCCAAAGAGAGAGGAGAGAAGGTGGCATGTTAGGGTTAGGGAGAAAATAATTTTCTCTATTTTTTTCTTAGCTATGTGCCCTTGTTTTTATTTGTTTGTCTAATTTTCTTCTCTCTCGAGCAACTCTTTTATCGCACATCTCCTCCTATTTATAGGAGGAGAGTTTCCTTGTCTTTCAAGGATAAAAGAGAGGCAGCAACTAGTCCTTATTGGACTCTTTGTTGTTGCTTCCTAATCCTCTATAAAACATTCATCCTTGGCCAATAAGGTTCATGTTTGTCCTCCCACCAAAATATCTTCGGGTTTTTAATCAAACTTATTGGTCCAAAACCATTTTAGCCTAATTAATTAATTTAGAATATCCAAATAAATAAACTTAGATAATTTTCGATGGTCCATATTAAGAAGTAATTTTCTAAAATACCCTTTAACTTAAATTAGAAAACTCATTTCCATTTTAGGTTTTTTACTTTGAAATTTGGAACTAACTTTCAAATTAGGAAACCGATTTCTAAAATAAGAAACTTTCCATTTTAGGAAACTTTTCATTTTTAGAAACCCTTTCCAAAATAGAAAACTTTCATAATTCAAAATTTTTTTCAATATCTTTACTTCTCTTTAATCATATGAATGCTTAAACTTATGTGTGTGACTCAATAGGCTCTTAGATATGTTGGCAATCTATAAAGAACAAAAAACACCTCTTTTATCTCTAGATACATAAGTCAAGATTGGCCTCTAGTAAGGCATCATGATTACCTAATTCTATAGAAGGATTAATTAATCTATCATTACTTTTGATAAGTATGGTTATCATATAATTCATTCCTCATATTAACTTATCACAAGTATGATCTCGAACTTGATTATTAGTCTTGTTTGATTAAGTATGATCACACAAGTTCTCTTCGATTTCTAAATATCTTAACTCTTAGATTAAAATAATTACGCTCTATCGTTGTACTCCTACCGTTGTCATAAATTTATAGAGTCAACATTCATTAAAGTGCAATGTTATAACTCCTTTAGTGAAAAAGAAATAACATGTGTTATCTTAGTCATTCACCTACCTCATTAGATTCTTAGTGTACACAACAAATAATCCACGTGTAACCCTTTTTGGGTCCATTAAAACGAGTGTCAAAGTACATAAATCCTTCAATGAGATAATCGTGATGATCTCAAGTTTAAGCATCGATTGTACTCATCTTATATGAGATTCCCATAGATTAAACCAAATGGGTTCTCATGACGAGTCAAGTCCAGTGATATGTTATTTAACATAAACCACCTAAGTGCTTGCTTTAGCATCATTATGCCAATAAGTGTGAGATCTCCTACTGCTATCATATAATATGAGCATAACACACATAAGTCTAAATGCATGTAGTCAATGTCCATTCTTAACCATACTACAACTTGAGACATTTAATGACATCATTTATATGCATCGGTGTTTGTCTCACATCTTTCGATCTATCACTAATGCAAATACATATCGTATAGATTTCTATCTAATTTTATACAATGAATGAATATAAATGACAAGAATTAATAGAAAGACTTCTTTTATTATAATCAATATAAATAATGTAATAATATAATAAGTCAAATTCATCAAAAAGGATTGGATCTTAGGTATCTACACTAACAATATGTATGTTTTAGACCTTGAGGATCATGAGATACGGGACATGGTGCGTTGAAAAATGTAATAAGACTCTATTTTATGAGTGGATATATTTGAGATATCTAATAATTGTTTGATGCCATACTTGTTGTGTGTTACTTGATGTTGATGACCTGTTTCATATTGTTATGGTGAATTGATGTTTGTGTATGATTTATGATATGACTTATGTATAACAATATGTACAAACATGTGTTTCATTATGTATAAAGGATTAAAGGGAGTAAGGTTAAGACCAACATGTTCAAGTGTACAAATACAAGCTCTAAGGACCCAATAGGTCAAATGCAAAAGATAAAAGTTGGTCGACAATACAAGTTTACAAGTTTCAAGTTACAAGTTCCCGGGATGATACTTGACGTGTTTATGTCATAATCGGTAAGAAAATGACACATGTAATATGATGATGCATGAATTTTTATGACTTGGTTATATGCTCCTAATTGGTGACATGAATGTGTTCTATGATATTGATGATGATTATCCCTCACCGAGTAGCATCTCATTAAAAATGTAATTTCATATTAGGAATCAAGAAGGCACAAAGATAAGGTTCATCTCATTTCGTCGCTCTTTGACTATTCCGAGCGATAGGTTAGCTAGCGACCTCCCTCTCTCTCTCACATCATGAAAAGCATTTGCATTGTAATGAAAAATTTGATTGTATATGATCTCAAATGATGTAAATGTGATATGAAAAAAGGAATTAAGAGAAGGTTCATTTTACATTAAATTTACTAGTATCCATTATAGAAGAGATAGAAGATATCAAATGGATGAGTCAAGCCGGTATGTATATCAATCATAAATTTCATTCTGGCAATTTTTCCTTGACACTCACACACACACACGGGCATGTAGAATTGCCTTTCAAATCGTGTCATATGAGCACTTCTCGTGTGTCTTCTTTTCCTTTGAAATGGCTTTCCTTCTTTGAGATACACACAAGCGTGCTAAATTTATCGATCAAACCGTGCCACATGATACCGCCATCGTGTCTCCTTTTCTTTTTAGATGGGTGTTTCTTTAAAGAGACACACACGAGTGTGTATAAAATACCCTCCAAACCATGCTTAAGGGCCATTGACCTTGTGCTTCTCTTTTTCCTTGAATGTGTGTTTCTTCATAGAAACACACACGAGCATGCTTAAAAGCCATTGCCCTTGTGCCTCTCTAACCTTCAAATGGTTTTTTTAACTTGCAAATGTTTTATGAACATGCATGCACATAGGAAAGTTTAAGGACGTTACATGAACTCCCCATCTCAAAACTCTTCTACTCATACACCAAACAACACCTAAAGCTCTACTTGTTTGGACCTTGACTATTTATCTATCAAGTCACGTGACTTGTGTCTTGTTCGGTTTTAAATTTCGTTTTTAATAAGTAAAGATTATTCTATTTTTCAGAAAATAAAAAGAATGAAAAAGACAAATCCCTGTTCGAAAGCAAAGCCAACAGATTTTCTCTTTATCGGATAAACCCTCTTAGAATGAACCTGCAACTACATCGGACTGTATCCACGATCCAGATTCTACTTTATATCGTCCTAATTAAGCCTGGCAATAATCATTCATAACCGAATCTCTAGTTTCCACGATATTTAACAGCTGAACTTGGGCTAGAAGTTTTACTTGAAATTGGGCTTATCGCAAATTTGGGCTCCAGCATTTTGCTTCCTTCCCATGGGATTTGCTCTGATGGACGCCTTGATAACTCGCTCGACCATCCAGATGCGAATTAAAGCCCGATACAGAATACAGATACCATAATGCGTGCTATCTGGAGGTTTTAAGTTCTTGTCCCATTATTATTTTTTTGAGTTAATTATATTTTTACCCGAAAACATTGTCAATTTTTATTATCTGAGTGTGTCAATTTTAATTTTTAGTATTCGAGCATATTATTTTTTTTAAAGTGGTTCCGTTAATTCTTGTTAACTTAAAATTGATGTACCCATTAACCGTATATGTGATACCTTCATGTGGATCTTATTGTCAAACACATGGCAATAAAAAAAAAGTTTATTTACATATTTAATATATAAGTTTATTTTTATTTTTATTTGAATGTGTAAACTTTAATCTTTGTTATTTAAGCATACTAACTTATAATTTTTTTCTATTTAAATGGCTGCGTTAATTTTAAGTTGATCTATTCATTAACCGCACACATGACACCGTCATATGAACTTATCGACAAGATATCTAGCAACTAAAAATAATAATAATGATCCTTCTTATTCTCAAATAAAAAAAAGGATAAATTAATTGCATAACAATAATCAAATAATTTTTAATTTATACAAAAATATAATTGAATTAAAAAAAAAAAAGATAAAAACAAACTACTTAAAAATAATCAAATACAAGAAAAGAATTGAAAATTAAAAAAATATTTGCTAGATTCATTCATTAAAACAATGATCCAATATCATTTTAGTGAAAAAGCTAAAAACACTGGTTGTTTCAAAGATAACAATATAAAGTTAGATGCTAGTTAGAGTGAATGATGATCTAGATCTGAATTTGATAAGATGAATTGATTATAGAATTTTTTTTTAATTTTATATATTTATTTTTGTACTAGCATATTTTTTTACACAAACATTTGTTAAATATTTTTTAAAAAATATTTGAATCTAGTGGAGTGAAGTTTTCAGTTGCCACATGTTTAATAATAGGACCTACATAATCGTACATAGTTAGCAAAACCACTTATATATATATATATATATATATATATATATAAAAACAAAGATTAAAGTTTACACAATTAAATAAAAAAAATGCTAAATAGGCTAAACCTTCATTGAACTTTAGTTTATTTAAAAGCTAGTTCCGTAAACTTTTAATTTTGAGTTTGACTTCCCTTAATTTTTTTTCTCTAGATTTAATCCATTCTATAATTTTCAGAATTTACCCATCCCCCTAAAAAAATCAATTAATTCTATTTGATCTGAAGTTTTGCAATAATATTGCAAAAAATACAATGTATCTTTTTTTATAAAAATCACAAAAAATTTCAAATTCAAAAAGTAAATTTGTTTATTTGCTTAGCATTAAAAATGTACAAAAAAAAAAAGAAAAGGAACTAATCCGGAATGATTCTAAATTTTGCAAAGAGTCTCAAATAAATCATACTAAATGATTTTTATTAGGAGGGTATTTGTGTGACAATTATTTTTGACATAAAACTAAAGAATTAACTAAAACCAAAATAATAGTAATAATAGTAATAAAGTTAAAGGGAGGTCAAACTTGAAATTAGAAGTTAAGAGATTGAATTTCAAATAGACTAAAACTCATGAGGTTTTACCCATTTAACCATACAAAAAAAAATTGATAAGTTTGTACAACAAATAATCATTTTTTTTAAGTTGATAGTAGAGTTCACATAACGATTCTATGTATACGAGTTAATAACCACGTTGATATAAAGTTAATGGGAGTTAATAAAAATTCTCAAATACAAAAAGTTACAACTTAGTATACTTAAATAACAAATATCAAAATTGACATACTCGGATAAAAAAAAGTTAACAACTTTTTACACAAAAAAATATAATTAACATGTTATTTTTTAAAAAGAAATGTGATATATTTTTATTTGATTAGCTATTTTTTGAGATATACATTGAATATTGATCTTGATTTGAATGCAATAGATGGTTTTTTTTTTTATTTGGACCGTGTAAAAGCCACAATTCTTTATCAAACGTGTAATTTGATTTTTAGTATGTGTGTTTATATACAAAAGAAGAGGAAAGGTTCAATTTACTTTCTTAATCAGAGAATTCTATAGCCAGTTCTGTACTAAAAATACAATTTTTGATTTTAATATAGAAAAGATCAATAATACAAGTTCGATTTGTGTGTGAGAGAATCTTAAAATCATTCGAAGATAGAACTTAATCATAGTTGGCGTATAAATTAATTCGAAAATATCCCTTAACGTCAAATTAAAAAAAAAATCAATTATTTAATCCCAAACAAGTAACAGAAACAAAAATTTATTAAAAATCCAAAAGCACCTATTACTTCATAACTATCTGCATAATATAACAACTAATTCAAAAAATAGTAAATTTAATTTCGATTTATATTAATACAGATTCAAAATACTCTATTAGTTACAAACATAATATATACATATACTCAGCTGAAATTATGGCTCAATGCGGGTTAAATCGTATTCATCCAAGAAATAAAACACAAATGAAATAGGAAAGGTTTTTTCTTAAGTGGATTTTTTATTTTTTTAATGAGTTCTAACTATTAGTTATTCTCCGCTACCAAGGGGCGTTGAACTTATATAAGAAAGAGTATATTGACAAAGAATTTTTTTTTCTAAAGGTTTTTAAAAAAGAGTGATTGACACGATAAAGTAAATTATTTCCAACTTGTGGCTCAATGCACGCTAAATTACATTTGTCAGACAACTCACGAAAAAATAAAACACAAATAAAATAACAATAACAATGATAATGACAAAGATAGATTAAAATAAATAAAATTACAATAATAGTGTAATAAAAATTAGAAAGGATGTTATATATATACATATATATATGAATTCATGACTCAGTTAAATTGCATTTATATATCAAAGACGACAACTCAAAAAAAAAAAAAAAATGAAACACAAATAAAGTAACAATAACAGTGATAACGATAACGGTAGATTAAAAATAAAACGTAAATAGTACGACCAGGACACTACATGACTATATCTCTCTGTTTAAGTGATGGCTAATTTTTTTCATAAAAGAAACATGGTAATTTGAATACGAAAGAAGCCAGATGGATTATATCTTAAATATCTGATTAAGTGAAGGCTAATTAATTAAAGCTTCACTGTTGTTTCTAGAAGAAAAAGCGTCCCTCCGTAGGCCCCACCACTCACTCTCAATTCAAACTCAGTCGCTGCGGCGAAAAACACAACATTCTGGAATGGGCTCAAAATCTCCATCACATTCGCTGCCGTCGATCTTCGAAGTCCATTGGCGCTGTCCAACACAGCAAGTATCGCCGTCCTCATCACTTCCATCGCCTCCTCCATCTCAGAAACTTCAACATCAACCAACCTCCCAACCCTTCTCCCCAAATTCAAAATTCTCTTGAACCCTCGCCAGTGTTTCCGACAATTCTCTCTCTTGCCTCCTCGTCTGAAACTTAACTATCTCTATGCTTGCACTCTGTTCTTCCGTCAAGTTCTTAACAGAGCTGTTAACTAACCTGAAAATGGCTGAAGGTTTGAATTCGCCTAGCCAAAGTAATGTTCTTTCAAACGATGTGAACCATTCAGGGGATAAGAAGAGAAAGACATCTTCATTTGCAGCTTTCGATTTCTCTTCAAAGTAGTCTCTGGAGTGAGCCAATACTAGGTCAATTAAGTTTTTGTGTTGGTCAATTTTGTGTGAATTTTGTGATTCAATGGCAAGGAGCAATTGGTCAAGGAGGATTTGTTTGCGACTTAGCCAGTCATTGAAGTAAACTCGGAAGGTCTCCCCAATGCCTGGCCTTGGATTTTGTTGAGCCATTTGGTAGTAGGGTACCAAAAAATGGAGAGAGAGTGAGTGTGTATATGTATATATATATTATAGTGTCGGTATTTGATTAAAAAAAATAATAAATAGAACCTGTCTTGTTTTTGAATTTCTTAGCGTTGAATTTCCTTAGTTCTAAAGGAATTTGCTGTAAATTTAGTGGTCGCACTAGGATTAAGACATGGCTAAGAAAGAGAGGAAAAATCATGGCTTTTGCTCAGTGCTGTTGAATATGGCGATTATAAGAGCTAATGTTTGATGGCGTCAGAAGGACGGAAGAGGAAAAAAGGAGCTTTGGGGAAGAAGGATAGGCCTCGAAGATGTCGCTTACAGAATCCACTGCCAATGGGCAACGTTGCAGTAGGACCGACACTGTCCGTACGCGTAGAGCCAAATCTTCATTTTATCTGATCTGTGTTCCTCGCCATAATGTCATGTCGTAAGCCCTGGGCCTATTTATAATAGTGCGTCGAATAAAATAAACGGTCGGAGTCAGAGATCATAGAGAGGGTGCTGCAATGCTGGCTCGGTAAAAGAGTATCAAGGGGCCTGTTGTTAAGACCGGTTTACGAAGGCGTACTACCATCTGAAGACCCAACATCTTCTGTCCTTTTTTTTTGTTTTTTTTCACGTTGAATGCCAGTTCTTATTTATTTATGTTAAAGTAAGATTCTATATGTAAGATTTTTTTTTAGGTGAGGTCATGGACCAAACCATAAGAATCCTTTGTAGAATTATATAGGCAAGTAAAAAAATTAACTTGTCTGTCTAAAATTTAATTTAATATAAGTAAAGTCATAAAAATATATTGATAGCTTAGAGTTTATTTAACATCATTTGTGAAAAATAACTTTTGAGTTTGAGTCTTAATTTTGAAGTTATTTTTTATAAATATTGCACTATATTTCCGAAGATAAATATCCAAGCCACAAATTTTAAATTCTAAAAACCTAAAACTATATAACAATAAAATACACCTTAATTTTAGTCGATTTTGGTAAAATTGAAAGCCTCACTACAACTTTAATTAATACAGATCAAATTTACCATCTTTGAAGATCAATCTAAGAATACGAAAAAAAAAAAAAAAAAACGAGACTCTAAAATGATCACAAAAGTCAACGCAAAGTTTGAGAAAATTTTTAGAAGCTGGATTCCACAATGTTATTATTTTGTCTTGTTTCAAAAGACTCATAAGAGAAGGCTTTTATAGCCTAGCAGCCGAAACCCTTAGGTAAAAACGGCAAGTCTCTAAAAAATCGCTAAAAATAAATACCAAAAAGAAAAAGGAGTCCAATTCAGAAAAGAAATAGGCTTCGATTCGGAAAAGGACTTAAATAGTCCTACAAAACCTAATAAGATACTGCTAAAATAACTCCAAACATGAAAAAAAAATCTATTAATAATAAATGCCTGCTAATAAAAAATAACAATGATTAAAAAAAATCTAAAAATAGAAGGCACTTCTATGTCAAATTCTTTAAATTGAAGAAGACTCGTTGTCAAAGTCTTAACTTTCTTCTCTAGAAAAGTGCTCACTTTTGAATTCAATAATAGCATCAGTTGAAAAAGTTCACTTCTCTTGATCTTATAATGATATTGCAATTTCTTGTTATAACCACAAATTCTAGATTTTTCATTTTTAGTAATGATATCCTTCCAATAAGTTTAATTGTTTACAATAAAATACTTTATGATCAACTTCTTTATAAATCACAAGAAAACTAAATTAAGATGGGAAATATCAAAAGGAATATCATAAAAAAATAAAAAAATAAAAAACTTGAAATCCAACTTGACAACGTGAACGATATCTTCCTTCAACACAAGCATTTTGTTTTTTTTATTTTTATGAGCTAAATGTTTCTTCCAAAAGCGATGACAATTGATCTTGGTTGATTGAAGAATCATGCTCAAATTTGTTAAACAACAATGAAGATACATGTTCTTCATCATAAATTGATGGAAGATCCCAATTAATATTAGAAATTTTTTCTTTCTTAGTTGAATTAAAAAACAAGTCAATCCTATATCAAAAAAATTTGCTCAATGATTTTGAATTTGCAAGCAAATCCGGAGGAGTTGTTCTTGCCTTCATACTCTTAAGCTTGAGCCTCACAGATCCAACTTCATAAGGAAATCAAAATTTTCAAGTGCATCAAGCTCAAGTAGATCTTCATTATATGTTGGTGGTTGAATCCAATTCAAAAAAATGCTAGAATCACTAAAAGTTTCAACTTCAAAATCATCATCTAAAAAGAGGTCAAGTTGACACTTGATTCATTCAGTTTCTTTTCGATTAGTCATAATTTCATTCTTTTATTATAAGTTGAATGATTGTGATTCCGTTGATTTCTTAGAGGTACGTTCACAAACATTGTTCGTAAAATACAAGAAAAACAAACCAAAATTTTGATACCAAGTTGACACTCGTATTTGTGCAAACAAATATTCAAGTTATAAATTTCAAACTCTAAAAAGCCAAAACTATGTTCAATAATAATAATAATAATAATAAAATCCTATCTTTAGTGGATTTTGACAAGGTTGAAAAATTCATTACAACTTTAGCTAATAGATATAAAAAAGACGGCCTTTAGAGACCAATCCAAGGTGAACAAATGAAACTCTAAGATGATTACAAGAGTTAATGCAAGATTCGAGATAAAATTTTCAAAAATTTTATTCAACAATATTATTATTCGGACTTGTTTCAAAAGATACATAAGAGAAGGTTTTTATATCCTAGTAGCTGAACCCCTAAGGTAAAACAACAAGTACCTAAAATAGCTAAAAATAAATACCAAATGGAAAAAAGAATTTCAATTCACAAAAGAAATGAACTCTAATTTGAAAAATAAATTAAATAACCTTAAAAAAAACTAATATGATACTCGTTACAATAATTCAAAACGTGAAATGGAAATAAATACCTACTAGTAAAACATAATAACACTAAAAAATATGAAAATAAAAGAAATTCCCATGCCAAATATTTATAATAAAAATAAGATTGGTAATAAATGACTCATAGCATTTTTTTCAAGGATGAATATAGTTTAAGTTAGAATTCATAGGTCAAAAGTTAAAAAAAAATTAACTTTGATTGAAACAAAATTTTAACTCAATTTTATAATAAATTATTTAATTTAAGTAAAAAGTTATTGTCAACCAAACATATTTATAGTTTTTTAATAAAAAAAAAAACTTAAATCAAAATATAAAATTTATACAAAAACTTTGATATATTAATGCGTATACAACTTAAAAAAATAGATGACAATTGATGACACATGCCATTAGTTTTTGTTTGTAAGTAATATGTTAGAAAAATGGTTTAACGATCACCCAACACTAAAATGAATAACATGTTTGATGATAATTTCTTTTCGTTTCATCCTAGACTAGTGTTTTGTCCATGCTTTACATGAAAGTGTTCATTTTTTTAAGTCATGTTTTAGATGTTTGATTTCCTTCTTAGGTTAGATTTTTTTATTCCTTTATTCCATTCTATTTGTTTTTTAAAATTTTGTACTTGTGACAACCATGTTCCTTATTTTTGGCAACTAAGTCACATATTTATTTAACTCCAAAAATTTAATTTGATGATTAAGAAGATTTTTGTTGTGTTATTTGACTTTCTAAATTCAAACTTTATGATCGATGGTTAAGAGAATTTATCTTTTAAATTTACAAGATTGATATAAAAAAATTATGAGAAGAAAGATCTTAGTCTCCATTGATACATAAATTGATACTAAATAATACTCTCGAGTCTAAATTTTTTTTTTTTTATCTTTTTTGACTTTTTATACAAATAAAGAAGGTTATCAAGTGTTATATCGTATTAGCGAGTTTTTGTTGTTACTTTCATAAAATACTTATTTTTAGCATTATATTTGCGTATGCTCGGTTTTTCCTTAAACTTACTAAGTAATTTAGCTAATTTTATTATATGTTAATCTATGTTATTTTCTTAGTTTTGGCATGCGTTCAAACTACTTAACAAATAAATTAGACTAAGGATGGGTCTTGCCCAACATAAGGCCTTGGATGGATAAAAGTATTATAGTAAGATCAATGTTCATGTCTTATCTTTCAAATGCATTGAAGAAATTTGTTTAGTGAGTTTGAAGTAGGATTTGCTAAATAAAGGTCCAATTGTTACTTTTTAATCTTTGCTAGCAACTTAAAGTAGCTTAGCCCCAAAAAACCCATTCCTTTCAACTTAAATCTCAAGTCCTAATGGTCAAGAACCATATTTAATTCACTATAAATGCTAATCTCATATCATTATGAGGAGATTTTAATTTTCTTTATCTCTATCAAAAAACCTCCGAACTTTTTACCTCTTCGAAACTATTAAACTTACATGCTAGACATCATCTAAACTATATTCGTTTGGACTTTGACCACCCAACTCGTCCGCCTTTTGATTTGCACCTTACTAGCACCACATGCTCGTTCCACACCTCTCATTATTTATATCTATTCTACTTGGTTGATTGATTTTCACTTCTACAAGTTACAACACTAGCTCTCTATATCATAATTAGTTTGTCAATCGGTCGTTTGATCAATTTTCAAGAACTTTTTATGAATTTTGGCAACTCTGTTAGGGAGTTAGTGATTGTAAAAGATTAATAATTCCTTAAAAAAATCACAAGAAAGAACATTAATCTTGCTACCAGCTCATCAACCAACAATAATGATGATGCCTTACCCGGTCCTAATAACAACACCGACACGCTAGCCTATTTAACACCGAGAATGATAACAATCCTCCAAACTCTTAAGATGGTAATGACAACTTGCCAACACCGTAAGGAGGTAGTTTGCCTCGAGTTGGTGCTTAGACCTCTTCTACGGTTATTAAATATTTAAGCATTCAAGCTATGAATGAAGTCTTAAAGGTTTTTTAGGATGCTCAGCTTCATACTATAGCAAAAATGATAACAAGTCTTCAAAGTCTTATAAGTCAACAATTGATAATG